TGTTGGCCGGCATGACTGCGGGAGTAATCGCGTCGATCACCGCAGTTACACCCACAGAGCGCATCAAGACTGCCCTCATCGACGATGCCAGGAACGAAAAGCGCTTTCGGTCCGGTTTCCACGCTACAACCACCATCTGGAAAGAACACGGTATCCTCGGTTTATACCGCGGGTTTGCAGGCACTACCCTGAAACAAGCATCAGCAACGGCGTTCAGAATGGGGACCTACAACATCCTCAAGGATTATGAGAAGGCCAAGAATATCGAACAAAATACGCTGGTGAACTTCGCAAACGGATCAGTAGCAGGCGTTGTGACAACGCTTGCAACGCAGCCTTTTGACGTCATTAAGACGCGTTCACAGAGTGCGAAAGGCACCAGTACTGCCGAGGCTGTAAAGAGTGTTCTGTTGGATTACGGGATCAAGGGTTTTTGGAAAGGCACGACGATGAGGTTGGGTCGCACGGTGTTTAGTGGAGGTATTCTATTCACAAGCTACGAGGCTGCTGTGAAGATCATCCTCCCGTTGTATCCTGGCACAAAGCAGGCTGAGTAATCCTAGACGCAAAGACATCTAAAACATCGCATACCTGCTCAACCAGTTCAGTCACGTCCAGGGCCTGGCGCTCATGCCTTTCCGTCATATTCGTCGATGACGCTAACAGGCTTCACAAACTTGCCCAAAGGTTTGTACTCCAGATGATCTAGCCCAAATGCCTTCGGGCCTCCAATCTCAATACCCTTCGGACTAGTCCAGCGCTCGCTCGCAGTGATACCGATCACCGAGACTAGCAGTCCGTACCGATACTCTGGCGTTCCGATGGCCTCGCCATTTTGCGCATCAATGACCGCGATAAGGTCGGGAACGATAGCCAGGACATCTTCATTCTTTTCCTCCCCAGTCGTGCTCTCTCCACTTTCCGGTATCCGTATCGCAGCAATGTTCTCGTTCTTGAAGGGTATCTTGATCTTGCCTTTGTACTCACTTCCCGTAGCTTCTATGATCACCTCGCCGTACACATGGCCCATGTATAGCTTACGCTCTACACCGACAATCTTGCCTTTGAAAAGCGCACGGCCTGTTTCAGAACCTCCAACCGCATCGATGATGGATTGTGCAACATTGTCGATTCTGTTCTCTTTGCGCGCGCGTGCTACTTCTCGTCCTATCCTCCACGATAGCGAGATTGTGTGTTCAACAGCCCAACGTCTTGTTTCAGCGCCTGTAACCGGGGCATCGGCTGTTCCGACGGAGCTGCCCATCTGGCTCAATGCTGCTCTGATGACCTGTTCGACTTTAAGATCACTAGTTGCAGTTGGCATATATAGCGTGTTGCCATTGCCATCAGCCACTGCAACAGGCGCGAACACGATTTCTCGCTCCCCGAAGACTACTGGGGTAGTCTGCCACTTTGTTGGATATGCTCGGCCCATCCAGTCACCGTCTACACATGGCACATTCATGTTAGTTGATGCACCCAACACGAGACCCTGCAAGCCGTTCGAGCCGCCAATCTCGAGAGGGATGATGTGCGTCGCGTAGCCACCTTTGATGAGATCGTAGAGGTGACTCTGAGCATCCATCATTCTGGATGAAGGTTAGCAGAGACATGGCGTGATGCTAACACATGACTTACTCATCAGCGGACAGCTTCTCGATGCCCACTGTTGGGCTGCCAGCACCACCACCACTTCCCACTCGCGCATCATCTTTGAGGTCATCTGGGCTGACAACGCGAACTTTTCCACCAGACCGTAGGATTCCACGCACTCTGAGCATTGTAGAGTAGGGAGAGCCTCCGCCGCCAGTACCGAGTATGTAGCAGCCGATGGTGATCCAGTCCAGATCGGTCTCAGATATCCACCACTCTCGGTTGACCACTTTTGGCTTATACGCGACGATATCAACTTCGAGTGCTGCATCCGCCTCGCCAGATGCCTCTTCGGTCGAGGGTGCTGCAATAGTATCGCCCGTACCCTTTGGTCCAGTCTCTACGTTGCCTCCTTCTTGGGTGACATTCAGATCTATGAAATCTCCAGCTCGTGAGAAGTCAAAGTCTCCCGCAGCTCTGACCATAAATCGCGTTTTGTGCGCCACGTATTGTAATGGAAGATCCTCTACTTCGACGATGGAGACCGTCTCCGCTGATGCGCCTGCTTCGATGGTCTTTCGTTTGGCCTCCTCGCATATTTCAGCTAGTAGTTCTCTCTGCGTCTGCTTCTCGGTGGATTTGACCGTGTCGACTACGGCACTCACTCGCGCCATCGCGGCACCAATGGCGTTAGCTACACCGGACCATTGAGGTTTGATTACTCTGCTTGCTCCCTTCAATTCGTCCGGAGCTATGACCGCACCACCACCGACAAGCAGAACGGGAAGATCATCAGGTGATGTCTTCATCTTGTCAATGATTGTTTCAAGCATCCTTGTCGTCTCGGCTTTGAAGGCTTGTATGTCATCGTCTCGCAGCTTCCCTCGTACTTTTTCCGGCTGACCAATCGCAACCTCGGATGAGGCCGCGACGGTGTAGTCAGTCGCTGTCGGAACATCACCACCGAAGACGAGCGCCTTTTCTGGTAGCTTGTAACCCACAGACTCAGGCCCTACTTGCATCTTCTCTCCAACTCTTCTCACCAAGCTACCGCCTCCTAGTCCTATGCTCTTCACATCGGGATACGAGAAGTTCATTCTGACACCAGAAAGCTCCGAGTACGCGGCCTGCTGCCTGGGAAAGCCGTTTGCGAGCAACAAGCCCACGTCGGTGGTAGTTCCACCAACATCCACAACCATCATCGCTTCGCCATTTTCTTGCCTTCCGACAAGGAAAGCAGCACCACGCATACTGTTCGTTGGGCCGGATGAGAAGGTTCGGATCGGTAGTCGGCTTGCGGCTTCGCCACTCAGTATCGTGCCGTCGTTTTGAGTAATGAAGACAGGGCAGTTTAGTCCGAGTTCCTTGATTGGTGTCTGGAATGATGCTATCGTTTTCCTGGCGAATGACAGAATCGAGGCGTTAAGTATCGCAGCATTCTCGCGCTCTAGAAACCCGAGATTTGCGACGGTCTTGCTAAGAACGATATCGACACCGTCTCCCAGCTCACGCCGAATGATGTCCGCAGTACGTTCTTCTTGCTTCTCTACCGTATCGATAGGACTGAAGACACCGTTCACGACTACACTTTTGATTCCCTTCTCTTTAATAATCTTGCATTGCTCTACTATCTCGTGCTCTTTGATGTCGGAGATTAGGCTTCCATCCACTTCTAGCCCCCCCTTAATGAGCGCATGGTGCCCAAGAATGATGTTACGCAGAGAAGCTGGCCAGTCGACACATGGCGGTGCATGTTTGCTGAATGAACTAGAAAGACGAAGGACTGCGACTTGCGAAAGACGTGTTCGGTCACGAGTTACGACCGCGTTGACAAAGTGGGTCGTTCCGATTGTCACACTCGCAACGGAGGAAGGGTCGACCGAGGCGGATTTGAACATAGTGGTAATGGCGTCGGCGATACCATGGCTTGGGTCGGTAGTAGTGGGTGCCTTGTGCCTGAGTTATGGTATGAGCTCGCGTTCTCATCAGGGGGTGATGGACTTCCGGTAGACATCATCATGCGTGTTCTTTGGGTCTTATGAGGGAGTGGGCTAAGCGAGGAAGCGTGGTATTCAACGTATGGGTATAGGACTCGTACCAAGCAACAATTCCTCGGTCATCTTCACTCGATCTTATAGGATCAATGATGACTCCGTCAGTGTTGGTTCTATGCGCGGTATTAGCCTCATGGTCCTCGAAACTCTGATGTACAGTACGTGCCCACCGACGTCAACGCCTATTCGCAGATTCTTTCCTGTCGTCATCGTAGCCGTAGATACTTCCAAGATGCAACACTCTTCTGATCGGATTGGAGTTGGCGGGTCACGATGCGTCCAGAATCCATCTGATAAGATTTCGATTGGTGGGGCGAGCTAGCTCCGGGAATCGGACATTCGCGCCCTCAGCCGCCTTCCTACTTTATCGCTCACCCATACCCCACTTTTGGAGTTACTTCCTACCCCAATTCTTTACCCCGTCATCAACAGCTTGCCCATTGGTAGCAGCAGAGGTTGAGATGGGATTTCTTCGGCGCTGATCACTGCGCTCGGATGATCAGATAAGATAGGCGTAAATACCCCTCTTTCTAACGGATAAGGTGCTCTTCCCGCGTATGATGCCTCGTCGCCCCGGTCGGCGCATTATCATCTTCACTAAACTTGGGTCGGCGTTAGATCAGCTAGATTGGGGTGACTCCGAGCGCGGTTGATAACAAGGGTAGCAACACTAAGATGGCGGAAAGAGCTCACCACTGGCGTTCGTCGCAATTACTTCTCTCCCAGCCTCCTTGACTAGCGACGCGTCCCTTGATTCGCGTTCATCATGACTTTGAGACAGCGCTTAAGGAATATCGATGAGAAAGTACGTCTTCGTGGAGACGATGCGAAGCATGAGCAAACAGATGCATGGAGCAACCGCGATTTAATCCCTCTCCCGCCAGAGCGCAGGACATGGGGCTGGTTCAATTTCTTCGGGTTTTGGGCGATTTCATCGCTGAACCTTGCGAATTGGCAAACACCAAGTACCTTCTTGAGTAAGCTACACCACCTGACTCTTGTTGCTCTCGATTGCTGATATCACCGAAGCTATGGGTTTATCTGTCTCACAATCTATTCTTATCATCGTTGTGAGCTGCCTTTTGATCGCTTTCTTCTCCACACTCATTGCTTGGGTTGGATTGAAGTGGCATATTGGCTTCACGGTGCAAAATAGATATAGTTGGGGAATGCGCGGAAGCTTTATACCTTTGTCGCAAAGAATCTTGCTCAACTTCATTTGGAACGCCGTTCAATGTAAGTTGGAGTACTATGAAGATGAGCCTGGTACTATGATGCTAACCTGAACCAGGTTGGAATGGCGGCCGTCTAGTCGCTGTATGTTTGACCGCGATCTGGCCTTCGTATGCACGCATGCCGAATACTTTCAGCCCTAACTTCCCTGCTACCACTGATCAGTTCGTGGGATTTGTTGTTTTCTGGTTCATATCGACACCTTTCTTGTGGCTGCGACCGGAGAAGTTCAAGATACCGTTCCTCATAGTCTGCCTCTGGTGCGGCATCGGAATGTTGGCATGGATGATCTGGGCAGTGACAACTGCTAAAGGTGTAGGCCCTCTATGGGATGCTGGCGAAAACATTCCCTCGGGTTCTGCTTGGGGTACCTCGTGGCTCATCATGGCTGGCATCAATCAGACCCTTGGTGGCATTGCTGCGGGCATCACAAATGGCAGCGACTTCTCCCGCTATTCACGTGGAAGAACGCCCTACATGGTCGGCACTATCACTAGCTGTGTGATCACCAGCGTCATCGTCTCCCTGGTTGGTCTTGTTACAACTGCGTCGGGACAAAAGTTGTATGGGGAGATCTATTGGAACCCACCGGATCTACTCATGCGCATGATGGACAACGGTAACGGCTCATCGAAGGCACGCGCGGGGGTATTCTTCCTGGCTGCAGGTTTCGCATTTACCGCAATGTTCGAGAACATTTGCGGAAACGCTGTCTCTGGTGGTATCGATCTTGCTGGCCTTTTTCCACGTTACATCAACATACGACGTGGTGCCATCATTACGTTTGTGGCGGCATGGGTCGTTCAACCCTGGCAGCTCATCAACCGTGCCACTACATTTATCGCCGTACTGTCTTCCTTCTCGGTCTTTCTAGCACCAATCATCGGCATAATGGCATGCGACTACTTCCTCTTGCGAAAGAGAAGGATCCGCTTGAGTCATTTATATCGAACTGAAAACTCGTCGTATTGGTTCACCAAAGGTTTCAATTGGCGGGCGATACCCTCATGGCTATGTGGATGGATCCCGACGATTGGGGGTCTTATAGTGACAGTAAGAGGAGATGTCGATCCACCACGGGCTTTGGTACAGCTCTACAATATGGCTTTCTTCATAGGTGAGTAGATTGTCTCACGACAATGGAAATTGAAGGGCCACTGACACCTTGATAGGATTCTTCATCAGCGCTTTCGTCTTCTACGTCCTCAACAAGATCTTGCCGGTTCTAGACATGGACCAGATCGATCCTATCGATCTATATGGTACCTTCACAGAAGCGGAGGCAAAGCGAGCTGGTGTAGTTCCGCTAGACGACAGCCCTATTCTGAGAGGGGTATCTGGGGGAAGATCGACCGAGCATGTTGTCATTCATGCAGAGAAGGATGTGTGAGTGGGGTAAACACATAGATTAGAACCATGTAGAATTCGTCACATGGAGGCTTGCAAGGTAGGCTCGGCCAATCATTTGACGTTTCACAGCCTAGCCACGCCGCAATACTGCATAAACATCGCCCAAAGAGCTATCGAGGACTTATAGGCTTTGGCTAGATGGCGGGGCTGAGCACAAGAGGGATGCACCACAAGAAGTACCTGTTACCTTGGAATCTGTCGCGCATGTTCTTCGTTTCGTTGCTTCGCTCTCACCTACGCTACCAGCTCGGTACATCTACACTATTAATCCTGGTCTGAGCTCTAACACCACAGATCGCAATGGCTCATCGCCGACATGATAGCGCAATGTCCCAAACGGACATACCGCTAATACCTCATGCAGGCGATGGCGACGCTGCATCTGCTCTGCAATCACTGACAGCTAATTCTGGACACAACACTAACTTGCGAACACTTGCAAAATCCCATTGGCTCACTCCGACAAACATGTTGGCTTCTTATTTCTTCGGCATTGCTCTCGCAGTAGGACATCATCGATATTACACAATGCTGGATGGAGATGTGATAGGCTCGACAGAGCGACAGCAGTGGTCATTACGGTATGTACCAAGACATACGCCCACTTTCATGACTGACCCTTGTAAGGTTCGGTAACGCTTTCGCTATCAGCATCGCTTTAAGCCTCAAGATCGCCGTCGGCATCGCATACACGCAGTATGTATGGATGCGTCTCCGGAAGCGATCGATAAGCTTGAGATCTATCGACGACTCTTTCGATATTTCGAGAAACTTGTCCGCTTTCTTCAACCTTGAAGTCATCCGGAAGCTACACTTAGGGCTCATAGTTGCACTCATACTATGGTAACCGATAGATGCACAGTTGAATGAGTGTCACTGACGGTTTCTAGGTGTCTACCGTTACCAACATTGTTCGCTCCCCCAACATTATCAGTCGAGACGAGAACAACGCAATCACACTCTATAGAACAAGCGCTAAGCGCGGATATGAACAACCTCAGCATGTCAGACGCGTTCGTTCTTAGGAATTCGGCGTACCTTCCCTGGATCTCGGGTCCTTCAGCTCGGCTCGGACGAATCGTCAACGCAGTCGCATCTTCCGGTAGCCGTCTTCCATTCGAAACGCCTCATTCTCACCTAAACACATCGTACGAGACAGAAGCCTTTCTACCGGTACTGAATTGCACCGCAGCAAATAACACCGTGCACGACGATATATTGCGATTTGCCAACGAGACTAGAGTCGCCGCGGTGAATAACTTGACTACTGACAGTCTGAAATGGACGAACTCTAAGATCCCTTCATACGGAGAGATTGGTTACCTCGGACTCTCATATCCAAGGACCCTGGAGAAAACTCCATTAGGTCTGAACTGGAACAATACTGAGCAAACCACCAACGAGTTTGCTTTTGCTATTCAGAAAAGACCAACTGATGTACCGTATCAATCTGATACGGAGTATTTGTCGTGCGAAGTGTGGAACGCTACTGTCTCATACACCGTCAAAACCCGCAATAGTGTAGTCGGTATCGAGAACATTCATTGGGAGTTACTCAACAAGTACGATCCGAAGGATGCGTGGGTCAATAGCTCTCTCTCGCCAGGTCAGGGCTCTCCTGCCTATTCTGGATATACCATAGGCCTAGCAAGCTATTTGCTTGGGTATGTCGCCTGGCACAGGGATAGGACGCGAATGTCACTGGATTCGACTGGCCGGCTTGACGCGACATCTCTTTCGACGGGGGCGCAGTTTTACAACATGACTCGCGACATGAACCAGGCAATCCAAATTGTCAACACTCTCCAAAACCCATCCAGCGTCCGGGATATCTCATTCCGAGAGGACGTCGAAGCGTTTGCGCTGAATGTGTCTTTGAGTATGATCAACGATGCTTCGCTTTGGTAAGCTACAATCTTATGATGTGTTCGAAGGCTAACGCTGGAAATAAAGTACTAAAGTCCCTGTCAATGTCACCACGTCCACCTCCGCGGTCGTCTACGCCTATAACCCGCAGAACCTCCTGCTCTCATACGGATTGGCCATCCTTGCTAGTACCATCTCCATTGCCTTTGGACTGTTTGCGATGTGGAAGAACGGTGCATGCTACGATAATCGAATGTCTACTTTTGGCACGGCGATGCAAGGCTTTGATGTAAGTGTCATTGGAAAAGACATACCCGATCAGTAGCTCACAGCAAGCCAGGTCAAGGAGGTGTTCGAAGATTCCAAAACACGGGCGGCACAACCGCTGAGAGGTCAAGCTGCGAAGACAAAGCTGATGTTCGATGCGGAAGAAGGTTTTGTACTCGGCCACCGCAAACGGCCCAGCGGAGGCTCAAGTATCGGCACGCCTATAACAGAAGAAGGTTTCGTACTCGGCCACCGCAAGCGGCCCAGCGAAGGCTCAAATATCGGCACGCCTATAAGAGAATGAGGCCTTGGCAGCCGGCATGCAACGTGCACATACGGCGGTTACACGGTTCCGATGCATTTGAGATAATTATATAATTGTCGTTTCGCCCAGGAAGCTTCGCTGATCAGCATGGAGAGTATCAACTAGACTAGATTTCATACATCTAATTAATATCCGAAGCCTTCACAACTGTACCAAACATATCATCAATCTCCGTCAGCGCAACCTTTTTAACCTGCGCAGCCGGGATATCCTTCATATCGCGCTGACCAACACCGTCTTCCACAACAAGAGCCTCGTATCCCAAAGTAGTCGCTTCGCGAGCGGTACTCGACACACACCCATGTACCATGTACCCCGTAAGAACAAGTTTCCTAAGTCCAGTCTTCTTGACGACGTCTGCTAGATCTGTCTCCGAGAAAGATCCAGCGTGTTTCTTCCACACGACAGGCTCGCCGTTGATAGCTTCGATGCCGTCCATCTCCTTGGTGAGCTTGCCGTTAGGCTTGAAGATAGCCGCTTCGTCATCGCCCGTGTTGTGCAGGACGTGGACGATGTGGCCGTTTTGCTTTCGGTATTTTTCGAGGAGGCTGGAGATGGCGACGTTGACTTCTTTGTAGTCTTGAGCGGCTAGATTGCCATGAATGTATTCATCTTGGGCGTCGATGATGACGAGAACAGAGTCTTTGACCGATGCTGTTGAGTTGGGGACTCCGATGACCGAGCGAAGAGAGGGAGTTGACATCTCGGAAGGCTGGTTTTGGGTGATTGGGAAGTTGAGGAGTAGATGGTGTATATAGAAATGATCAATCGTCAGGCAGTTGATTGAAGCGTCGAGGGTGATGGATGTGTTGGTTGTCCATTTCTGTAAACCCGTCGACCTTTATATCGTCGACCGATAACCCCTGCGAGATCCTCCAACTTTCGTCCGTCACATACCGAGACCAAAATTCTGATCTGATATCGTAAGCCAGCGTTATGTTTCCTTAATTGTTCGGACCGTGCTGTTTGGTGAGCTAGCAAAGAAATAATGTTACCCCATACGGTTAGCCGGATTTCTGTGGACTGATCACTAACCAGAGCCTCTTACTAAGGCGGACACGTCTCGTGCGAACATCACTTCCTGTCCCTCACTCAACACCTGTCACATCGTATAGTGTGCGATTCAGCCCCTCTAGTCCAGCAACGCTCAGTCTCCCCCCTACAGCTTTCGCACGCTTTTGGCTCCCGATTAGGAAAAGATCCGTAGTCTGAAGAAGGGAGGACTTGAAAGGTTGGTACGGATACAGAGGCGCGCTCAAAGAGCTGGAACGTACTTGTAGGATGCGCATATCTACGGGCAAACTGTGGATCGGGGAAAGGAGGAGGCATTAGATCTTCGCGGCGGAGAGGGGTGGAGGGAGGGATGACAGAGAAGGCAACTGTGGCACGTGTTAGATTGGGGCGCTGGTTGTAGCTATGGGTCTGTACTTGCAGGAGGAAGAGAATGATGTTGATATTGAGATCGGATCGCTCTTTGTGCCGGTGCTGTCATGCGCCTTTTGATGTGCACGTGTAGTACTCTCCGCGTCGTCTCTAGCCTGGAAAGAGCTCGCGTCAAGCCGCTTACAAGCCGTCTTCTTGTATGAGGTGAGCTCTAGATCTTCGGCCTTTCTCTTTGCTGCCATGATGAATATCGAGTGGAAACCTAGTCTAGTAGGTGTTAGTAAGGCAGCATGTGTAACGGTTGAGAATGAACAAACCGCGCGACTAGGCCTCGAGGCTTAGTATGAGCGTAGTGCAGCTGCTTAGTAGCTTCTTTGGTCTGACTATGCCTAATAGCACTGTGGCAGAGAGAGCCTGTTGATGTAGGCGGCATAAATCGTTGCTTGATGGGAGCATCTAGATATCCCCCAAGTCGGCGCTCGGTTAATAGCTAGGGACGTGCAGTCTCGCAATCGGCAGAACGGTGAATTTATAACTAGTCAATGAAAAGCATTCTTGGGGAGAGTTTACTTGTGCTAAGATTGCTATATATGCGCTATGAAGATTAGATTGAACTGTGTACTTTGGCTTATCGCGTTCTTCTATGCATTGTCTCTTGCCTGCCTTTCATTGCGCTCCTTAGTTACTGTGGTCTGGCAACCGCTACAAACTCTCCATCTACACCATGACGTTTTGCACCTTACGCACTGGTGCCACTCGGGCGCGTGGACATCGCAAACCATAGCCCCGCCACAACCAATCTGCCGTAGCGTCTCTCCATGGTCGGTCTCATTGCAGTTGTCAACATGACAACGGTGTTGTACACTGCTAGCGCATTTTCCATCCTTTCCACCTCGGCATACAGGCCCCTGTTTCACCTCTTCTTGGGAGTAGTATTCGATGCTGTCGCATGTGTCGCATTGTCTCAGGCCAGCTGCGTGGCGCTCGCACACTCCAATGCCTGGAGAGGTAGAAGTATAAAGTTAGTATACGTCTCACATGCGCTCGGTATAGCGAGCACTTACCGAAAATGAGCAAAACCGCTATATGATCACGACAGTCCTGGACTCGGCACCGCCTACTATTGTACTCCATATCATTGGGCAGCCTGATTACCCGCTCGTTTGCGTTGCGGTAGCTGGTTTGCCACGGCCTGAAGCTTATCTTCCTCTTCTTGTTCGGTGGTAGAGCAGGTGACGTTTTCTCTGATATCTCAAAGCTTATCTTCCTCTTCTTGCTCGATGATAGAGCAGGTCCCTCATACTATGGGCACCTGTCACATCGTACAGTCTGCGATTCAGCACCTCTAGTCCAGCAACGCTCAGCCTCCCCTCCACAGCTTTCGCACGTTTTTGGCTCGCTCCAGGTGTTGTTCATCTCGTCGGGCAGGGTATGTCGCGGAATGGTCAGACGCTTTACCTCGTCGGGCTTCTCAAGCTGCTGCGGTGAAGGCCAATGATGAGTAGACTCGTGGTGATGGAGTACGGATAGCCACCAAAGAAATCGGTGCTCTTTCGTCGTTGCAAAACCCGTAGTGTAGGGTCGTTGCTGGTTTCCCTTATAGCCCACTCCGCAGCGAGATCGTCCACTTTAAGGTGCGCGAATGAATATGTTCCCCTCTTCGTATACAAACAAGGGTTTTTGTCTGCGAACGTATCGTAATTCATACTCGTCAGGCTGAACTGTACAAGAGGAAACTGTCCCGCCATCTGCCCCCACGACCTGTTGGAGGTCGTGAGTCCGTCACAACCTGGGAAAATGAAGAGCACACGGATCGGGCGCCCTGCTAGCTCTTGGTGGTGTAGGATAGCCTGCTTGATCGGCTCGCGGTAATAAGAGGTTTGGCTTAGCTGACCGAAGACGGTTTCCATGGAGGAGTCGTGTCCCAAAAAATACGGTCGGTATATTGGCGATGCGATTTCCATTTCCCACACGTTATCAGGATGCGCGAGTCTGGTGTGGGGCGTAGCCAGACGATTGCAGACACGGTTCCAGGTGTTGTATAGCGCATCCACGTGAGCGTGCGCTTCCGTCTCTGCGTCCTGGCATGCGGAATCTTCCTTGGATCGGGGTCCGCTGGATCGCGAGCAAGACAGCACGATATCGAAGGTCTCTCTAATATCGTCGGTATTGTCGTGGACATGTACGTCTGTCCCAAATAGTGCTCTTGCGTCAGGGCAGCACGCATAACTGACGGCAGGGTTGATACCTAGGTAGTCATCGGTCTGTCTGAGCGGGTGAGAGAAGGTCGCACCTCGACTCCGTCCTCGTCGATCTGTATGAGTAGACCCTTTGAGCTGCTGAAATCTCTCCATTTAGGCTCCTTTATATTGGCGGTCCTCGTAGCCGACCAACGTCTCGTCAATCTCGTGAAGAGGACGTTCGGTATCAGGCCTTCCGGCTCGTGCTCGAGAACAGCCATGATTGTGCGAAGCTTTGTGACTACGAATGCCTTTCTTTGAACGAGTATATCCATGTCGTCGGATGTCGCTCGAGCCAGTATGTCGACATTGGGCGCTGAACTGGACACGGATTTGGACGCTGAGGGGGACGCGGAGGTGGACGCGGAGGTGGGCGCGGGGGCAGCGATGATGGTACAGTATTCATCCTGATTGGCCTTGCTCCATGGTCCCACTTCAGTCGTCTCAGCCGTACGGCGCCAGAGTAATTTGGCTTTTTGTGGCGAACATCCGATCCATGGCTGGGTGATGGCGTTCGGGTCTTCCTTCTATGAAACGGTACGATGGTAGGTAGGTGTACTCAGCATACGCACTGCATCGGGTGCACTCGACCATATTTCTTTTCCACTCGGACCGATCGCAAAGGCGAGTCCAGATGCCGGCTTCTTAGTAGCGTTGCATCGCGCGAGATCTAGCTCTTCAAACTGCACCTACGTCATCGATCCGGTAGTGCCGAGCATCAACTATATCCAACTGAAATCCATCACCATGCTTGGTATCCTTACCTCCCTCAATACCAGAGAACAAGCTTTCAGACACCATGGCACCAGGCGATAATCTACCCGATTTTCTCACGAACACCAAGCTCGACCCCAGCTTCGACAAAGACATTCTCGACACACATCTAATCTACGATTACGATGCGCAAGACAACGATGGCAACCCCGAAAAATGGCGGTACGAACTATGGTGTTTCTCTTCGGAACGTGTCGTATATGCCATCCACGGTGGTCCAATGGCTGGCCGCATCAACTACCAGCGCGCAACATACCAATGTATCCGCCCCGGCGAACTATGGCAGATCAACTGGCTCGAAGAGACAGGCAGCATCGTTTCTGCAGTCTACGACATCAAGGAGAAGAAGATGACGACGTTGATCGCCTTCTCGGAGGGCCACTGGAAGAGGGCGAAAGAGGCGCTGGGCGACAAGAGGAAGAAGGAGGATCTGGAGAGATGGAGGGGGCTGGCTGGTGTAGGAAACCAAACGTCGAGGTTCATGCTGAGCGAGCAGGCCCATGTTGTGGAGGTGTTCAAGGGCAAGGGTGAATTGGTGCCGATCAAAGAGAGCGATCCCCTGTTTTGAGTGTGTATAAACGATGGACATCAACTAATGAAGCCGTGACCATGTATTATTCATCTCGCATGGCATGTCCATTCTTGACTATGACAAAGATGTTAGATGAGACCATGATGTTAGTACCATTGCATGGCATGAGATGAGGTTTTCAAGGGATTGCAACCTGTCGGAACCACAATGCCGGTAATGAAGTCAAAGCAACGTACCTTGCATTGCAGACTGGCAGTGCGACCATCCACGCGATGCTGTGTAGCAAGCCAGTGCCACAATGTAACCGAAGCGGTGAGCCATCCTGCCACAGTTCGGCGACCTGTTCGGCGTTCTGGCATACCGTTACATGTTGTCGCAGACATCCATTACGACGCCATTCGGGTTCTCGTGCGCATGCGATACGCGTTTGTCCTCCAGACTTGGTATCTTTGTGTGTATGTCTCAAGGGCTTATGACATGTGGAAACCGTCGCCCAGGACTACTCTCCATATTCCTCTGGCACTCCTCGCTTGAGCACACAAGATACATTACACCGAGAGAGCGGGAGGCGGAGGACCGATGTGGGATTGCCTCAATATCGCTTGGTTCCAATAAGTCAACAAAACAGTCGGATTCCGTTAGGGTCAGAAGATGCGCTCGGAGCAGTAGTAGCAAGTCTCGCTTGTGCTCCGGTGGGTGCCGGGGCATTACCGACCCGGTGGTCCTTTGTTCCTATGGGATACTCAATGCTTGTGATGATCTTGGTCTTTTGGCAGGTTTCTTTAGTACGACGAAGGCTATAATGTGCTGCGGTCAGAATGTAAAGGCATTGCTGACGTCGCCCTTCAGTACTTGTCGTCATCTTTCCGAACTCTTACGCCGCTTTTGCTCGCATTCTATAGGAACATCGTGTAGTCACTTGCGACCACGTGCGGTGCTGCGGGTGTCGCTGTACTGAAGAAGTAATGGATTGGTTTTCTCCTTCCGTACAGCCGGGCGAAGGCGCTGCACATGTCTGATAACGGTGTGGGGTAATGCCCGTCAGCAGCCAGGTCCCAGCGCAACGCTTCCTCGTATGCCCAGCGGGCTTCACGGCATTCCTTCAGCGCTGGGTCCTCTGGCCCTGCGTAAGATATGGGCAAGGTTTGTACCGGACGTTTCAGTCGCTTCTCGAAGACACTGAAGATTCAGGGATGGTGGAAGCGGCGCACGCCGTGGCTGTTAGCGGCATGTTGTGAGTGGTGTGTGGCTTGGTTGGACAAAGAACAGACCGCATGTTCGGAGTCCGATGCCTGCTAAGCGCCCGCAGTCTGCTGCTGTAAGGACGGTGAGACTCGTCATGCGCCATTGGACTGGTCTTGCGCTAAGGCCAGATGTGTAGGGAGATTGAGCAAACGAAAAGACTCCATGGCAATCTCCACTCACGCCATGTTAGATGAAGGCGTGCCGACAGTTCCAGAGCATAACAGATCATGGGGACCGCCAAGGGCGTGCAACCAACCGTGCTTTGATGCTGCAAATGAGGGAAAAGTTAAAGGGCAGAGTTAATTTTCCGATGCATTGCTCCGGCCCTTGCCAGGTGAGTATGGAGTGTCAGTCTGGCACTACCGTATTAAGCTAGCGTAAACCCTATCCATGCCACCTAACTTCTGGCCCCCCAGTACGCCATGTTCGTTCCACAACAGACACCTGGTGTCGGTATGACAGGGCGCGGCGGGCGCGACGCTACTCGCCATGGACTCTTATGGTGCTTCATCAGCTGCTGCCAGCCTAGCAGCTATGTCCAGCCCGCCGTCCCTCATTCCTCGTGCGTGTGCCTCCATATTCCTTTTGCTGCCTCGCGACCCCAGGCTGAATCACCACCCCGTTTCATTTCGACTTGCTTTTTACTCCTCGGTCTGGAACAAGTCGCCTTCAAATATTCGCCAGTCTGAACTTTCATACCATACAAACCCCAACCATGGACCGCCCAACACTCACATCACAGGAGCATCTGGAGCTCTTGCGAAGCTCTGCGTTTGAATCCGAACACGCCTGGCTCTACGACACTTCCTATCTGCAACATGAGGCAGCAGCGATGGCGTTGGAGCAAGAGATTGAGCAATCGCATGCCAGTATATCGCCAGACGACAACTCAGACGAGCAAGTGCGCATCATCAAGACGCAGATCAACATCCACAGGGAGCGGCAGCGGGCGCTAAGGCCGCATCTTGAAAGCGGGAGCGACCAGATCGACGAAGATGGGAACGAGTGCGTCTTTGTACCAGCACCGAACCAATGGGGCGCGAATGGAGACCTGGACGAGGAGAGCGAGAGCCTGTCTGCAGTGAGTAGCAATCTCCGTTTACTGCTGGGTCGTGACTGACATGCCTCAGATCCACAACCTCCTCACATGGCAAACTTCATACTCGCCTGTCTCACATGCCCCGCGCGACGAACTCCCCTCCCCAAGCACACCGTACCACTCGCTGCTCGACCCCCACCAGCCTACAACCACGTACAATCTTCACCGCACGCGAGAGTGGACGGGGTCTTCAGGCTTCAGGAAATACATCTACAGCGCACGCGACTACTCGGATAAATACGCTCTATACATGCTTGAAGCCACCCACCGCGACGACAGCCAAGTCAACGCTGCAGATCTCTTCCGTGTCGCCGAATACCCACAACCATGCATAAACATCCTTCTCTCTGGCATCGACAAGAAGCGCGCCATGACCAAAGATGCAGCCTACAAGTCGCGGGGCATACATCTGCGCGGGCCATTCTCACAACCGATCAAGGAATACCCAGACAGGCAACAGAAGATACCATGGTCACCGCGACGATTTAAATATGGCGGACGTCGCTTCGTGTGGAAGCAAGGAGATCCTAACGACGATGCCATGCCGGAGACTTTGTACGAATATCAGCAAGACTGGGTAAAGCCAGGAAGCAGGACGGGCAAGCGATGCGACGATGCAAAGCTGATCAAACTTGTCTGGGGAGAAAAGAGGAGGAAGGGTAAAGTGGACAGTTACACGATCCATTTCAAGGGCGGCATGGATCAAGTCTTTAGGGAGATCTTGCTGGCCAGTCAGATGGCCAGGCAGGTATGTCTTTTCACCGCGATGGATTGAAGTCGCTATCTTTCGTCGGACAAGATTGAAACTGTACTTGTATATAGCCACACAGCGCGAGGCGTTCAAAGGGGCCGTGGAACACGGGACGGATACCATGGAACAGCATTTTGCAGTCAGTTCCCAGCGGAGCTTTCTGCTATTACAGTTTACAAGATCTTGGGAGTGGGCAGCAGGCTTCTCTACTACCTTGGACATAATTCAGGCCCAAGGGCAACACTAATCAAACTCAAATATTAGTCCTTCCATAGGGCAGCAACGCAGCCTTCCACCAGCTTCTCACTTGACAAATGCTCACTTGAAAGAAATTGCAAATAACTGATTGAACTGCGTGACATCTGTATGCAATTCATCTGACTCATCAGAATGCCCACGTTGAAGCGAAGAGAGGGAACATCCGTAGGAGCGTTACATTGTGTAAGCTGCATATGCATGCTACGCTGTAGATTAGATGATAGCCTTGCTAACATACGCCCCTTACAGTATGTTGGCGCTGGTCGCATTGGCGGACTCTGCGATAATTGCATTGAGTACTTTTTGGGAATACAAAATTATGCACCATCGGCTGTGGCTGAAGTTGGTCGCAGGTGGTAATGAGCATGTTGTTTTTGGTGGCGTGGCTCTACGCGCGAAATCCAATGCACATGACCAACATGAACACCACCATGATAGGTAGGCTCAGATCTCTCGGAGGAATGCGATTCAGGAAGGCGCTCTCATCATGCTCAGGTGGAACAACGCTCCCCCCTACCATGTCGCCTGAGCCAGCATGTAAATGCAGGCGCTGTACACCGGTGTAGGTAAATATCACGATGACTTCATCGCCAGTCATTCGTGCATGCTGTCCAAA